AGATGTGACACTGTGGCTTCTGCCTCAAGAAGCCATGCACTCTCCCTACATGCATGCACTATACCCTATAAAAAGCTAGCACCTTCTCTCCCAGCTCTCTCTTCCTTCCACCCTCATTCAGAGGCTGATCTGCTTCCCCCTCCATAAGGCTCTCAAGTGGGATCTGTTACATGATGCGACTTTGTGGTACCCCTTGGCTCCAACCTGCCAAAGTACCTTTCTCCATTAAATCATTAAAATAACCACTCCATTGCTGTGGGATGGTCTGTATGTCAAATGTGTTGCTGATTGGTCAATGAATAAATCACTGATTGGCAGTGGCCAGGCAGGAAGTATAGGCGGGACTAACAGAGAGGAGAATTGAGAGAACAGGAAGCTGGGTGGGGGAGACACTGCCAGCCGCCATCAGGATAAGGAAGATGTAAAGTACCGGTAAGCCACAAGCCACGTGGCAAGGTATAGATGAATAGAAATGGATTAATTTAAGCTGTAAGAACAGTTAGCAAGAAGCCTGCCACGGCCATACAGTTTGTAACCAATATAAGTCTCTGTGTTTATTTGGTTGGGTCTGAGCAGTTGTGGGACTGGCGGGTGGCAGAGATTTGTCCTGACTGTGGGCCAGGCAGGAAAACTTAGCTACAAATGGCGTCCAACGTGGTGGCAAGAGTTTCCACCTAAAAACTGAGAAAAGATTCTAAAACGGAGCTAAAAACAGTTCCTAATTGTCTCTCTCAAATGAGCGGCAGCTGCCGGTTTGAGCTACTGGTGGGTTCCTAGTGTGCGCGCTCGACCTGCGGTATGGCAGGAATGAGGCCTCTGCAAGTGGCACATTAAGCTGCTTGGTGGATTTAGCCTTTGCTAATACAAAACAAAAAAAAGAGGTTTCTGGGCTACATGCTGCTTGGATAAAAGCATAGACCCACGATGGCTCCCAGAGCTGGCGGTAAGCATACCGCAGCCATGTTGGGAAGCTGAGGTGGGCAGAGCCAGCAGCCACAGCTGCTGCAGTTTAAGGCAATAGATTCACAATAAGACAGATTCAGATATAATAGTTTAAAATGTGTGCAAAATATACGTAGGCTTGAAAGAGATTAAAAAGGTGATATATACAGTTACAGAAACAAATACATAGTTTTAAAAAATAAAGTCTTTAAAGAGACAGTAAAATTAATATAAAAAATAAGCCCCGTAAAGATGGATATCACACAGAAAATCTGGATTGTGTTGTCTTTGGGATTCTTAACTACAGAGAGATATTTGATTGTAAAGGAAGCTAAGTTAAACCAATATACATATTTTAAAGGTACCTTGACTTCAAAATTTGGATATAAGGATATGTTACTTTGGAAAGGAGACTCTGCTTTTGTTTCCACAGAAAGCCAGAGGCTTTAGATTTGTTCCAGATTAAGACACATCAGGTTTGACCAGCCAAGACCCCCTGAAAGGTCTCCGATGACACCATGGCCCAGATGATCCAACATCCAGAAACGTTTCAAGGCAACTGGCTCAGACAATACACCCTCATGGACTACTCCATAATCCTAAAATTTTCTTTGTTTCTCCAGAAGATACAGAGCCCCCCTCCAGCAGGAAGTAGTAAGAGAAGCTACGCCCAAATTCCCAAATATACCAAGCTGACTTTGGAGATGTGTAAAGGTTAAAACCTTCCTTTTTAAGAAAAGAAAAGGGGAAGTGCTGTGGGATGGTCTGTATGTCAAATGTGTTGCTGATTGGTCAATGAATAAATCACTGATTGGCAGTGGCCAGGCAGGAAGTATAGGCGGGACTAACAGAGAGGAGAATTGAGAGAACAGGAAGCTGGGTGGGGGAGACACTGCCAGCCACCATCAGGATAAGGAAGATGTAAAGTACCGGTAAGCCACAAGCCACGTGGCAAGGTATAGATTAATAGAAATGGATTAATTTAAGCTGTAAGAACAGTTAGCAAGAAGCCTGCCATGGCCATACAGTTTGTAACCAATATAAGTCTCTGTGTTTACTTGATCGGGTTTGAGCGGCTTGGGACTGGCGGGTGAAAGAGATTTGTCCTGACTGTGGGCCAGGCAGGAAAACTCTAGCTACACTCCATAGCTAATTAGATTAAAAAACAAAAACAAACAAAAAAGAAACAATAGCAATTGCTAACAGAATGAGGAGGGGGAAATGCATATTTCTACATCTAATTTTGAAAGCAGTCCACTGTGCTTTGAATGAGGAATGTCCCCCATAGGCTCATGTGATTGAACAGTTAGTCCTCAGCTGATGGCTATGTTTAGGAAGGTTATGGGCTCTTAGGAAGTGGATCTTTGATGGGGAACATACATCACCAGGGGTAAGCACTGAGGTCATATAGCTTGGCCTACTTCCCATTCTATGTCTACTTCTGACTACTGATATGTGTAGTCAGGCTCCTGTGGCCATGCATTCCCCAGCATGTGGTCTGTACAACCTCTGGAACTGTAAGTCCTGTCTCCTGTAAGCTGCTTTTGTCAGCATTTTATCACAATAGAAATGAAACTAATACAGAGTCTGGTGAATATTTTACATGAAATACACCTCAACAAATCACACTCCTGGGAATCCACCCCATAAAAACAAGATAAAAGGACCAATCAAAGGCTTATGGCAGCATCCTCCTACTGCAAAGAGCAAGTAACAAAAACAAGCGTTCAAAGCAATGAGATAACAAATAATGGCACACATTATTATTATTAAAGCATACATTAAAAAGAATATACATCAGAAGAATTTTCTTAGAAGCATCTTAAGTGACAAAATGTGATATAGGAAACTATGGCTTTATTTTTAAAAACCAAATTTTGTGCAAAAATTGTTGATGTTTATATGCCAAAGTATAAAAAAAAAAGTCTTTGTCCTTTTCTCTGTCTGTGTGGTTGTAAGGAACAGAGACAAAGAAAGAAAGAGAGAATGTGACCAGGACACAACATAGAAGGTTACAAACCAGCTTGCTAGCACTCAGTACTTGCAAGGGGGATAAAGGGTTTGAGAAGAAAGGAGACAGTGACATGCCTTCATTTATGTCAAGTAACATCCAATCCGTGCTTACCTGAGGACTAGGAATGCAGCATGAGTGGCTTGAGCTTCTACTCCTCTCACAGTCTCCACTCTTAAACCACTCACAATCACCTGCATTTTCTTATCCTTATAACTACCAGTTTTATACAATGTCTCACATATTTTCTGCATTTTATGAGAATCCTATTGTTAATTAATGGTTAATTGTTAACTCATGTTTTATGTAAGATCACTTTTAGACATGACTTTTCAAGTTGGTGGCTAGGAGGTTTTAGTTTAAATGAGAAAGGTCCCTATAGGCTCATGTATTTGCATGTTTAGTCCTCAGTGGAACAAAGAAGGATTAGAAGGTACAGATAGTGTGGTCTTGTTGGAGGAAGAATGTCACTAGGGGTGGACTTTGAGGTTTCAAAAGCCCATGCCAGGTGAGTGGCTTTCTACCTGCTGCCTGTAGATCAGGATATCCATCTTAGTTACTTCTCCAGCACCATGTCTGTCTGCCTGCTACCATGCTACCCATGTGATGATAATAGGCTAAACCTCTGAAAGCGTAAGCATGCCCCCAATTAAATGCTTCCATCTATATGAGTTACTTTGGACATGGTGTTTTCTCACAGCAATAGAACACTAAGAGAGGGTGCACAATTTTACATAAAAATGCAAATACATAGCTATATTTAAATAAATTAGAAAACTAAGAATTCAGTCATTATAAACTAACTGACTATAAAAATGCATATCAAATGAAAACATGTTGTTGAAAATATATCAGAGTTCCAGTAATAAATAAATGAGATATTAATTACAAATATATACTTGAAGGAGACTAGAGAGATGGCTCAGTGGTTAAGAACACCGGCCACTCTTCCAGAAGAATCAGATTCAATTCCTAGAATCTACTTGGAAGTTCACAACCATGCTTAACTCCAGTTTCGGGAGATTCAACTCCTTCCTCTGTCATCCTTGGACACCAGTAATACACATGGTATATAGACAAACATTCACACAAAACACCCATACACACAAAATCCAATAAATTTTACTGTACACCAATGTTTTTAAGAAAAGAGGCAGCTGTTGAAGGTATTCTCAAGGCCACTGGGACAGGTTCCACTCAGGAGAAGGAAACAGGAAAGAGTGGTAACCAGCTTTGCTGTCATATCTCTACATTCTGTTATCATGCTTATTACAACAAGAAAAAAAAATATTACTTTTGAAGCATGAAAACAGTAAAAAAGGATAATTTATAAATAAACTATGATTTAGTATCTAACTCATAGGCTCTGTTGAAAAGACTATATGTAATAATTCATGCAAAGTGTTTACCTCATTCCCAACATGTTGTAAATGCTCAATAAAAGTTAACTATTTTATTTTTAAAAAATTAGCATTCTAGACAGCAGTGGAAATTGTGAAGCTAAAAAGTCAAAGCCTTTGGAAATGGTATTACACAGACTTGACACAGTCACCCTCACTCTGAATCTGCTCTCCTTTAGACTGTAAGGCTTGTACTATGGTAATAATAGTATTCATTAAACAATTCTATTATCAGAAAAATAAAACTACAATTAGGTAAATACATTATTATACAATAGAATGGAGATGGCAATTTTTTGCCTTGAAGACTACATTAAGAACATCAAGAACCATCTTCAGGCATTGTGCTCTGTCCTAACATTTGAAATGATAAATACTTGGGTCCTGGATATGGACTCCATGTTGGGGGAGACTTGAGATGACATATTAGGAAGCAGTGCAATAGTTCTTCTTGAACTCTGCCCAAGAGAGAAGTTTATTCCCAACAAAGAAATGCCACTTTGACTGTGGCCTACCTACAAACACTCCATCCTAGTTATAATCCACGAGAACTAAATCTGGCCATTGGTGCCACTATTATCCAACGAAACATCAAAATATCAAAACAGCTTCACAAATGTTGTAGACATGCTGGTCTTACTACTCACATGGAATCCACCTTTTCTTCGGGACCTTGCACTTGACCTGTCACAGTCCCTTTGCTTGTATTCTTCACCCAGCCAACCACTCCTCTTTTCTTAGCTTCTCCTTCTGTGTACTGATTTCAGGAAAGAAAACAAGAGAGGTCAAGTCCATCGTTAGAAGTCTATACTTATAAAACAACTCTAGTTGAAAACGTATCAGAGTTCCAGTTATAAATAACTGAGATATTAATTACAAATATATACTTTAAGGAGACTAGAGAGATGACTCAGTGGTTAAGAAACTGCTAACCTGACATTATTTTTTTTAAAAAATATAGTCTATTGGACTGGAGAGATAGCTCCATGGTTAAAAGCACCTGCTGCTCTTGCAGAAGACCAGGGTTCAATTCCCAGCACCCACATGGTTGCTCATAACCATCTGTAACTTCAGTTCCAGGAGATCCAATGCCCCATCTGGCCTCTGTGGGCACTAAGTATGCAAGTGGTACATAGACATACATGCAGGCAAAACATGAAATACACTCTGTGTGCTTGCATAGCTGACCTGCAGTCACACCACTATTTATAAGATCAGTGCAATTAGAGAAAAACAGACCAACAGTGAGAACTGTTTCAATAGTTTCTAGTACATAAAATTCAATCCGGGCTTCAAAGACTGATGAACCCAGGATTCTCAATCACTGATTTAAAGCTATCAGTTTGTGATCAACATAAAATACATACAGGCAGAAACAGACACTGGACCCATTTTGAAAATTCCAAAAAAAAAATAGATACAATTTTAATAATAATATCAAACCAGCAAAAACATAGGCCTACACACAGTGATCTGGAGGCTAGTGTACAGTTAGATGGTTCTGATAGAGTTGGTTATGAACAAATGCAGGAGCTAGTCTGAAAAACAAGAAAATAATGAAAATTGGGGCAATGAAATCTAAAGGACAGAGTTATCCTGAAATAAGAGGAGCTTGACTGATGGGGACATGGTGGGACTCTTGGGGCCAGCAACCAGACACCTAAAAGAGTGATACCCAGATCAGAGAGTAGGTGAAAATACAAACTACAGTTAAGTTTGAGGGAGGGGGCATTTTTTAAGACAAAACCAAGAGCAGGGGTGGGAGTGGGTTTTACTGCTAAACTGTGCTACACTGGCACCCTCTCACTTTACAGTGTGAGATGTGCCCCTGACCCAGGAGGGTGTGCATCTAAAACATGAGAAAGAACCCATAATTTGTATCTAGTATACTTAGCCAAATGCTTAATTAGAATCACATGCCAGAATACTTTTGAAATTCATAGAAAATTCTAAAACCTAGGAAAGCTATAACAAAACTTTAAAGATATTTCTAATAGAACTCACAAACAGTAAATTTTAAGAAAAATATCAGCAGTTGTCAAGAATAGGATATAATCAGTAGGCTAGAAAATGGGTCGAAAATGCCTCTATGATTAAAATCAATAGTAAGAAAAAAAGGCATAAAAATAAGAGATAGGTTTCACTTACCATTCTGAAGCAAACACCTGAATGAAAGAAGGACAAAAAGAAATGTCAGCTTGTCTGCCTTTTACAAACTATGCATTTTCTGCCATAACTTACATCTATTAAAGGGTGAGTAACAAAATGAATGAAACTCTCAAATCTGAATGTACTCAAGTGGTCTTCTTAAAAATTATTTTCTTTTGCCGGGCGGTGGTGGCGCACGCCTTTAATCCCAGCACTCGGGAGGCAGAGCCAGGCGGATCTCTGTGAGTTCGAGGCCAGCCTGGGCTACCAAGTGAGTCCCAGGAAAGGCGCAAAGCTACACAGAGAAACCCTGTCTCGAAAAACGAAAAAAAAAAAAAAAAAAAAAAAAAAAAAAAAAAAAAAATTATTTTCTTTTAAAATGAAGACTTTGGGGGGACAAAATATATAATATTTGAAATAAAAGTATATAATAAAATGTTGAATTACACTTTAATCATATTTTAAAATGTTAATTAAACACACAGTTGATCTGGTAGTACGGTCCCATAATCCTGGCTACTTGAGAGGCTGAGGAAGAGGGATGACAAGTTTAAGTCCAGTCTAGGCTACATAGAAAATTCAAGACTAACCTGGGCAACTTTACCTTAAAATAATAAGAACAATGAGGAGGTCATCTATGCATGCAGCTCAATGGTACATTTGCCTAGCATGTATGAAGCCCTAGACAGTCCCCAATTCCACAAAAACTGAATGAATGAACAGTTGAGAGTAGTTGATATAAAATGTACCCATCCTCAACTTTTAGAATTTCTTTTATAATGCAAGAATGAAATTCCAGTTTAAATAGTTTAAATTGTTTCTAGATATAGCCAGAACCAATGAAGCAAAACCAACATCAGGAAATGATATGTGCTTGACCACTGCTGGGCTTCCAGGGCCTCATCATTAATGGAAATCAATGCCAATGAAAATGATCCCTGGAGACTTTCTTGTGTAGCTTACATTATGTGCATACTTTGGATCATATATGTTGGGTAGTATTGTTCGTGTTGGTTATGTTTCTCTCTCTAGACTGTGGCATACCAAGCTTTCCTATATTAATCACTACCAAGCTGTCACATACTTCAGTTATTCAACTTCAGGCTGTAGGAGCTTCATCCCAGACATAAGTCAAGAATGCCAGGGTTTGGGGATGGCTCAATGGTAATGCACTTGTGTAGCATGCATGAGGCTCTTGGTTTGGTCTTCAGTGCACATAGGTGCACTTGTGTATAAATACACACACACACACACACACACACACACACACACACACACACACACACATCTCCACAAGGAATGCTATCAACTTTATATCCTGTGTTGTCTATAACCAAACACTGATACATAAAAACTTGGTTTTCTAAAGGAAGTAAGACAAGAGGCTAGACAGTTCCAAACTATCAAGGATGTATCCTGAAGACTTGGACCCATTGGAGAAGGCCTAGTACATCTTTCCTAGGAATTATAATGATCTTAAACAACATATCTCAGGTCATTCCCCCAAACTGCTAATCAGATCCTTGATCACAAAGAATGCATAGAAGAAAACTAGCTCCTACAAGTTGTCCTATGATCTCTATATGTATACCACGGCATGCACAACCACAGACATACATAAAATAAGTAAATGTAAGTGTTCTAATATTTTTAAAGGACCATCCTGAGCTTCAAGTACAAAGCCCTGCCAAAACACACACACACACACACACACACACACACACACACACACACAGCACCACCACCACCACCACCACTACCACCACCACCACCACGATAGGTCCACACAATGGAATACTACTCAACAGTAAAAAAGAACATACAGATACCCATAGGAACTACATATATGCATAAAATGCAGTATTCTAAGCAAAAGAAACTCACACATTATGTATAATGACATTCTAGAAAGGAAAGGCCACAGAGACTGAAAATAGATTGCCTGCTGCCAAGGTCTGGGAGGGAAGCGAGTGATAGCAGGAGGCTCAAGGGAACTTTCTGGGGTGATGGGTGCTCTCTGAACTGTGCTGGTGATTCCATGACCCCACACATGCCAAAAAAATGAGTATAGAACAGCAGAAGTGTTATCAGTTGTAAATTATACATTGATGGAAAACAATCAGGAAAATATTCATTGAGAAGTCACAGAAAACAGACCAAACCAACCTCCAAGGAAGTCAAAAGATACTGCTTGCACACAGCAGCTGTTCCTGGGTAGGAGCATATGAACATTCCACAGTTAGGGTACTTTATAACTTTGCAGTGTTTCCTGATGGCAGTATACTGTAGAATCAAATAAATAGGAACAAAAAGACCAGTAAGGGAATGAAAACAGTGTAACTTTATAAGACTATAGAAATATTTTTTAAATACATCTGATTGTGGAGGAATTGTGAGTGGGAAGAACCAATGAGAAGGAGAGCCAGAAAGCAATCTGTTATCCATGAAGGTAAAGATATCAGCCTGTGGATAGAAAAGGAAACAGCAGAAAGCAACACATGTGGCTTCTACCACACAGCAGGGGGCTCAGAACACAGTAAGTGCTGACCAAGCACACAGCCTAACAGTTCCAGGCTGGACATACTTCCTCTGGGCTTCTCAACCTCAACAACTTTATGTACAAACACTGTGAAAGGAAAGGCCATGGGCAACTGAAGTAAAAAGAAATTGGGGGGCTGGAGTGTAGCTTAGGGACAGAGCACTGGCTTAGCATGCACAGGGCCCCAGGTTCAAGCCTCAGAATCACAAAAGGGAGAATAAAAAGGATGATCTCTTTCTTACTTAGATGAGAGTCTACAAAGCACCAGTCACTGGGAGTTTTCTTAAAATTCAAACCCTAAGACTTTATCTCAGACTTACAGAAACTGTGCCTAGAGTCTAGGGAATCTGCTGTAAAATCAGTGGTTGGAAGGGAGGTCAAGGGGAGCATTATAACACTTTTCTAGCATGAACAAGGCCTTGGGTTCAAGACCTAGTGATGGCTTCCCACTGGTGTGGTTCAGTTGGAGTGGATGAGAAGCCATATGATCACTTATCAAGTCTGCTTGCTAGTTTACAAGTCAGTAGTACACAAGTAAGCTTGGATGATGACGAAAATCCTAACCTGCACTCTAACACGGCCTGGTATTAGAGTTGCCCAAGCAGCCTGGCAGCTTAGGTTGCTCACTCCATCCTTACCACTTCCTGTCCCAGAAAGGGAAGTCCACATCAACCCAGCACTAGCAAAGAGCAACATTGTTTCAGTATTCATGAACCCCAAGGAGAAATGAAGGCTTATAACTCAAACAGGGACTGAGGAGATGTTTCAGTTGGTAAAATGCTTGCTACAGAAGCAAGAGGACCTGAGTTCAGATCCCCAGCACCCATGTAAAGCCTAGCATCCCATGCACACCTGTAACCCCAGCTCCAAGAGGAGCAAAGACAGGTGGATCACTAGAGCTCGCAAGCCCTGGGTTTAGGAAAAAATTCTGCCCCAAAGGACAGATGGTGGCAGAAAAGGAAACAAATACCTTCTTTGGGCCTCCATGTGTGCACAAACACACGTGTGCAATAAACACACATATACTCTCTTTGGGCCTCTGTGTGTGCACAAACACACGTGCAATGTACTCACACATATAGATAAATAAACACTTTCAAAACGTAAGATAAAAAAGAATGTAATAGAGGAAGACACCTGACATCAGCCTCTTCCTTCACATGCACATGCTCAGGTGAATATACCTATACATATACACCACACAAACACACATTAGATACATGGATGGATGGGTGGACAGATAGGTGATAGATGATAGACAGACAGACAGACAGATATATGCTCATAACTTAAAGCAAAGGAGTTTGAGGAGTTTATTTTGTTGTTGGTTTTTTGTTTTGTTTTGTTTTGTTTTTTTGAGAGGAGCTCTCACCATGTAGCCCAGGCTGGTCTCACATTCACTATGTAGCCCACACTGGCTTTGAACTTGCAATCTCTTCTCAGTAAAGAACTCAAAAGCAGTATCAAACAACAAAGCATACCCAACTTTAGGAATAAGAAAATTACATATATAATCTATTAATGGATTGTTTCAGATAAAGCCTAAAAATTAGACAACTCAAATATATCTAACAAGTATAAATTATTCATGCAACAAAAGATTAGTCTAATTCAAAGTACAAAAGATGAGTTGAGTATGCAAGGCACAGTTGTCTCTGCGTCTAGTAGCTTAGAATCTAGTAGGGAAAGCAGAACACCACACAAAGAGAAACAGACAAATAAACAGGGTGTGCTGCTGCTAGAATCTGAGACCTGCAAGGCATCCTTAACAATTTTGAGGCCAGCCTGGGCTACATGAGATTCTGTTTATAAAAGGTCAATATAAATAAATATTTACAGCTGGACTAGGCTAAGTAATGTAAACCTGTAATCTTAGTAATTGGGAGGTAGAGGCAGGAGAATTGCTTCAAATTCTAGGTAGGTCATCCTGGTCTATACAGTGAGTTCTAGGATAGGTAGGAATGAAACCCTGTTTTAAGAAGGAAAAGCAGGACAAGCAAAATGGTTCAGTGGGTAAGAGCAATTGCTGTCAAGCCTGACAACCCGAGTCTGATCCTTAGAACCCATATGGCAGAAGGAAAGGACCAACTCCCACAAGGTATCCTCTGAGCATCACACCCCTAACACACAAAAATAAATAAGCAAATGAGAAAAAGGAAAAACAATTTTAGCAATAATCTCCATAAGCCTGGATACCAATGAGAATTTACTGGACAGACAAACCAATATTGGTGACTTTTTGACACACTCATTGAAAAACAGGTTTTCAAAATGAAACATGTATGAAAATGTTATAAGAAAACTATTATTTTGTAAGTTAATTTTTAAAATAAACTATTAACTTTTAAATGAGTTTTTGAAAGTTCAAACTTCATTCATGAGCAACAGTTAGCATGGTAAGAGCAATGTTACATGATGGATGAAAAATATGCTGAGGCCCAAAGCTAAGATTATCACATAGTTAAACATGCAAAGCCATGTGTGGCCTTGAAAAATTATATCCCAGCTCTAAACTGTACTGCAGACTTACTAAAAGACAGCTGAGCTGTGCTTCAGCTGTTTCTAGAAGAAATCATGTTTCAAACCCAAAGCTTCTAGTCTCTCAACTTACCTACTGCAAGCACCTCCCCACCCTCTTGTGTCCACTTCTGCCTTCCACTTATTTGTCACAAACCAGGAAAGGTGGTTTTCTTTCCTGAAGTAAAATAAAATCACTTCCTTCCTAAGCTTAAAACTCTCTAATGACTCCTCATAATACTGAAAATAAAATGAATTCTGATCACCACATTCTCTGTGACCTTCCCAACACTTTACCTCTCAGTCTGCCATTCCTCTCTGGTTGATTTGAAAAAATATGCATCCCCCCAATAGACTCATATTGAGACTTGGTTCCTGATTGGTGGTGCTCTTTGGGGAGGTTATGGAACCCTTAGGGGTAGAGCCTTACAGGAGGAAGTATGTCACTGGGGGCGGGATTTGAGGATTTATAGCCTCACTCCACTTCCAGTTCACTTATTCTGTTAACTGCATATGATTGAAGATGTGATCTCCCAGCTTCTGCCTCAGTTACCTGCTGCTAGGCTTCCCCACCATGATGGACTGTCCCTCTGGAACTGTAAGTCCAAATAAACTCTTCCTTTTATAAGTTGCCTTTGGTCACAGTATTTTATCACTGTTACAGAAAAGTAACTGATACTATTTACTCTATTGTTATCAAACTTGCCTCCTTAAATATGCCAAGTGTAGTGGATCCCCATTTCCTTTGCACATATTCCTTCTGTGTAAATGATCCCTTGTCTTCTTATATCTGGCTTTTGTTGTTCCTATCTCTGCACATAAGTCACCCTGAGACAAATACTCACTAACTTATCTCAAATATCACTGCATATTTGATATCTCAAATATCACTGAATATCAAATATTCCACAGTTCCTGTATAAGCATGCCACACTGACTACCACATGCCATTGCTATAACTTAGCAATTCACTTTTTGTTTCCCATCTTCCTAGTAAACTGCAAATTCCACAAGGGCAATATCTTCTGCTAGACCAGAGCTGGGCACACAGGTGTTGCATATATGAAAAAAGAAAAGCTAGTTGAAGAATACTCTGTAACAATTCATTATTAACATTATAAGTATACATATAGCCATATCAATTAGAATTTAAGTTTACTTTCAATATAAGGATGCTACATTTATTGCATTCAAAGTTCTGCAATGAATCTCAAGAATTCTATACTGATTCTAGAAGAACTTTACATAAGTAATAATATAGTGACTGAATATATAATATATTTATCCATGCCTATACTTACATGTATGAATGTACATATCTGTATACAAACATGATTACATGCATACAATATAAAAGGTAGCAGAAAGTTACTAAATAATGCCTAAATTGACATCAGGCAGGTATAGAACACTAAGCACACACACACACACACACACACACACACACACACACACACACACACACAATCTTTAAGTTCGGAGTCTTTTATAGAACATAGAGTACTTGGGGTGGGAAACTGAACAAGATATGCTGGCTACTGATTTCCACTTGCTCTTTGACATTGATTTTTTGCAAATCCAAGCACATATGTTAGTTTGATTTAAACTCTTAAGGTTTTAAATTTAAAAGTATTTGTAACTATAAATGGTAAGGTCACACACACACACAAAATCTTAAAATAACTACAGGATCTATTTAAGAGACTGACATAGTTTCAGGCCAATTTCATACTGCTTGAGCAACTCTAATCCATGTCACTGCTGAGGGAGTGATATTTGGGAAAAACAAAAAACAAAAAACCAGATGACTCCTGTATGAATGACATGTTAAGTATTTAATATAAATTTAGGTTGTCTTAATTGTATATCTAATGTTTCAAGGTTAAGACCACATGGTTGTTCTGTAAAGTCCTTAAATATTAATTGTGTGTTAATTTATTTATTATATGAGTGCTTGTGACAGATGCTGCTAGCTGCATATACAAAAATCCATCTCCCTTTCTTCTTAACAGAACTCTAATTTTCACCTAACAGCAGAAAATGACCTACATTTCCAAGCCTTTTTATCATAATGGTGGACAGTAAGACATAAGTGAAGACACTGATCAAGGCTTAGGAAAGCTCTCCCACAGGGACTGACTCAGAATATAAGACTGAAACAACCACAGCCACTTTGAAACCATGAGGCCTTAGATGTGACTTGTTAAGAGCTTTAATATGCCAGAAAACAGATAAAAAAGTAGGGGATGCAATGTGAGTCGGAATAAGAAGTTGTATTTGAGCAGGGGTGGAGTAGGGAAGTCATAGAAATATTCTGGAACTAGATAACAGTAACAGTTGTGAAATACTAAATATATTAAGAAAAAACACTGTATACACCACATAATATGAATATATATCAATTTCTAAAAATACTATAAAAACAGAAGAAGAAAGTGAAAATGGGGCTGTGGTACAGGCCTCCATACCTTACCTGAAGAGCAAGGTAACCATTTGCCAGTTTTTGCTCACTACACCTTCCTCACTTCTCCTATGGTTCCATAGAAAAAAAAAATTCCACAGTGCAGATCATCTTGAAGTACTGCAAGCAGAACTCAGTGGTTGTGATTTCTCGGGCTTTTACAATTTATTGCTGGAGAAGAAAACCTCTTGCACTCTAGCAGTATTTACTTCCATGGGGAATATTCACTACAGTGATGGTCCTGACTGCTCTATCTTGTCTGTCTCTTCCACAGGGATGTGCAGTGACTCAGCTCATGAATTCAGGAGACACATGTAGCACCAGTAAGGTTTATGCCTTGCTCTCATGCCCATGAGGGTACTTACATTTAATCTGTAATACAGATTATTATAAAGTCCCTTATATGCACATACATGCCACTTTCCTGTCAATAATTCAGAGAATGAAAGAGGATATTGATTATTGGACCCTTTATTTTAAATCCTTAGAAGGAGTATGTCAAGTGGATCTCCAGTCCATTAACTTTCTGAAGCATCAAGCCATGTAGAAATCAATAAAGTTCCCAGCCCACTTGACATCCTCTAGGATCTTTCCAAGAGGCCTGGCCCTTAGTTTGATGTGTACTGTGTAGCAGGAAGCCATCTAAACAGGCAAATGTGCAGCCAGGTTTTCTGCAGTTTATCAGCTGTGACTGGAGCAGAACATGCCAGGTTAGGGCCTCTGTTGGAGAACAGGCTTCTGTGGTCTGTCAAACTCCCTGCTCCCATCCTGCTTTCACTTCACTTAATAAAGAAATAAGGAACTATTATGACACAACTGCTCTGGAAACTGGGACAGACATAGGCTCCTTCAGCCATGAAATACGCAAGTGCAATGTGTTGCTCAATCAGGCTCAGTCGGCAGCAACCTGTTCCTTACTGGATGGAAAGAGAGTCAGAGAAAACTGAGTATTTGCAAAAGAAATATACCTTAAATCTACAAGGAAACCCTGACATTCAAAGAAACCATATGACAAATTTAAATGTCTGAATCCATTGTTTGTATCATATTTTCATACTGTAAATATACTTAGGATCTGAATGCAGGATGTGAGCTACATATCAGCCTTTAATGATTTCAAAATAGCGTTCACTAATTATATAAAATGTGTTTGCTTACATGGTTTCACATTGTATGATATACTTTGGACATTTCAAAACCTTCATTGTCTTTCTTGTCTCCTCCCTGACTTCCCACTGGTCAGCTTCCCTTAATGATTTTTAACAACTTTAATTACCAAAACAGATTTCCTTTTAAGGAGGAAATCTGCTTAACCTTTCTCCATGGTCAAGGAGCTATTGCTTGGAGCTAAATGTCATGTTAGGATCTTTCAAATAGTCCCATGCTACCTCTTCTCAGAGCTAATTATCACTGCACCACAATTTAGAGGCACAAGCCCTGTTGGGGACAATAATAACAAGCCATCAACCTGATCTTCAAAATATTACCCTTCCTGAAATAGTGAGAGAGGCAGACCTGGGTACACAAATAATTGTAGGGGAAAAATAGCATAAATGAAAGGAAATGAAAGCAGGGAATGTAACAGAACTATCAAGAAAATGGAATAATAACACAAATGTGAGGAGCTAGAGTCAGCATACTTACACTCCTTGACTCTAATGTACTTAAATTTCTAACTTCTAAAATGCAGGTTTTCTATTTATCTGTCTATACAAGGGAAGATATGTATGTGTAAATCATGTGATAAGGCCATTGATGGTTTATATTTGAAGTAATATTTCTTTCCCTTTTTCTTTCTCTTCCCTCCTTCAACCTCCTTCCCCCCTATCTTTCTTTCCTTTGAGGCAAGATGTCACTATGTAGCCCAGCTATGTAGCTGGCCTTGACTTTGTGATCCTCCTGCCTTAGTTTCCCGAGTGTTGGAATTATAGGTATGTACTACTATACTCAGTTTAAACAAACTTAGAGAAAACTATTTATATCATATTCCAATAAGCCTGTCCTATTCTAAAACCTAGTTACTACTGTCCAAAACAAACTCCTAGCCTTCTAAAGCACATGGAAACTAGCACATGGCCAGGATGCATTTCTAAGAGTGTTAGTATTCACCAGAAAGCTGATAAAACACCACATCATCTATACAATTAACCAGTTTTCAATTCTTCCTCCCCTTTTTTGAGATAAGGTTTCACTGTCTAACAAACCTGGCTGTAGACTACAAACTCATTTTGTAGACCAGGCTGGTCTCAAACTCATAGAGCTCTGAGAGGGCCAGGCAAATATCATAACAGCTTGCCCTAATAACTCAGTTAAGAACACCTGCTGCCCAGACTGCAGACAAGCAAGACACTGACAAAATAAAGTCAGTCTTCCCCAAGTTCCTCCTCTATAAGGAAAACTATTACCTTATGGACCTGGAAGCCAAAGACAGATGCTATCCTGCCAATGCTATGAAGACTACAGGAGCCTGGGATGATGGCAGTCTGGGTAATGGGTAGTCTCTGTCATTTTTTTTTATTTTGCAATACAGTTCAGTTCTACATATCAGCCACTGATTCCCTTGTTTTCCCCCCTCCCGCCCCCCTCACCTTCCCCCCCAGCCCACCCCCTATTCCCACCTCCTCCAGGGCAAAGCCTCCCCCAAGGACTGAGATCAACCTGGTAGACTCAGTCCAGGCAGGTCTAGTCCCCTCCTCCCAGGCCGAGCCAAGCGACCCTGCATAGGCCCCAGGTTTCAAACAGCACAACTCATGCAATGAGCACAGGACCTGGTCCCACTGCCTGGATGCCTCCCAAACAGATCAAACCAATCAACTGTCTCACCCATTCAGAGGGCCTGATCCAGTTGGGGGCCCCTCAGCCATTGGTTCATAGTTCATGTGTTTCCATTCGTTTGGCTATTTGTCCCTGTGCTTTATCCAACCTTGGTCTCAACAATTCTTGCTCATATAAACCCTCCTCTTTCTCACTAATTGAACTCCCAGAGCTCCACCCAGGGCTTAGTCATAGATCTCTGCATCCAGATCCCTCAGTCGTTGGATGGGGTTTCTAGCACAACAATTAGGGTGTTTGGCCATCCCATCACCACAGTAGGTCAGTTTGGGCTGTCTCTCGACCATTGCCAGCAATCTGTTGTGGCGGTATCTTTGTGGATTTCTGTGGGCCTCTCCAGCACTTTGATTCTTCCTATTCTCATGTGGTCTTCATTTACCATGGTCTCCTATTCCTTGTTCTCCCTCTCTGTTCTTGATCCAGCTGGGATCTCCCGCTCCCCCAAGCTCTCTTTCCCTTGACCCTCACCCTTCATTACCCCCACTCATGCCCAACAGTCCAATTAAGAAATGGAACTAAACAGAATTCTCAACAGAGGAAACTCAAATGGCTGAAAGACATTTAAGGAATTGCTCAACATCCCTAATCATCAGGGAAATGCAAATCAAAACAACTGTGAGATACCACCTTATGCCTGTCAGAATGGCTAAGATCAAAAACACTGAAGACACCTTATGCTGGAGAGGATGTGGAGCTAGGGGAACTCTCCTCCACTGCTGGTGGGAATGCAAGCTTGTACAACCACTTTGGAAATCAATATGGTGCTTTCTTAGAAAATTGGGAATCAATCTACCCCAAGATCCAGCTATACCACTCTTGGGCATATACCCAAGGAATGCTCAATCATACCACAAGAGCACTTGTTCAGCTATGTTCATATCAGCATTGTTTGTAATAGCCAGAACATGGAAACAACCTAGATGCCCTTCAACTGAAGAATGGATAAACAAAATGTGGTACATATACACAATGGAATACTACTCAGCAGAGAAAAACAATGACATCATGAGGTTTGCAGGCAAATGGATGGATCTAGAAAAAATCATCCTGAGTGAGGTAACCCAGACTCAGAAAGACAAACATGGTATGTACTCACTCATAGGAGGATACTAGATGTGGAACAAGGATGACTGGACTGCTACCCACATCACCAGGGAGGCTACCTGGAAAACAGGACCCAAAGAAAGACACGGGGATCGCCCAATGATGGAGAAATGGAAGAGATCTACATGAACAGCCTGGACATGAGTCTCTGTCATTTTTTAAAACAGATTTGGAAACTGTTTGGTCTGTACTCAGAGTTTATCCTTCTCAGATCTGATGGTATTGATGACTAGGCTGGCTATACCTTTGTCAGCTAAGCAGCAACAGATAACCAGAGTCTTCCATAAGGCTGCAGTCACCTTGTTAATTCATTGATCAATATAAATTTTAGGGGTCTGAAAGAAGATATTTTAAAAAATGGAATGCAATTTATGGAGATATATAAAGGATGGCTTAAGATTTATGAAAAATATTGCAAAATTTCTTTCCTATGCCATACTGTCATTACATTAAAATTTCAAAAATTTGAAGTTTAACATTAATAGAATTCTGACAAGCTAATAAAGCAATGACTGCTTACTGTTTGGGTCACAAGCTCAAGATTTTAAATTTCTTTTGGTTATCTTCTAAATATAGACTTACAGATGCTTTTCATTGGGTCAAAGACATTTCAGTCCAATCTATACCTGGCTTTCTGTACAGAAGAAAATATACATGCTTTTTAAGCCAAATTTGTAGCTTTTGCTAGGACTCAAAGATGAGTCTACTCCTGCTGTTTTACACATATCTGTTACCTGCTTTTTCTACAATATGGATTTCAATACAGATTGATAATACTGATATATCTGGAATTTTATGTCTTTTTATAAAATGAAAATTCACATAAACTTCAAAGAATCAAAAAAAACTTGGATCCACTTCTCACAGGTCAAAAGGATTCTGAATAAATACAGCTGAAGTTTCCCCATCTGTCTATTCCTGAAAATGGTATTTTTCTCTCTCCTGGTCTTGGTACTTCTCTCCCTTCCTCAATTACTGAGACCATGGGTCCAAAAGTTCCAAATAAGTTCATAAATTTTAACTTCTGTTCCTAGTTTGTATCTATCTTGACAGGTTTCCACTTGGCTGACAAACACATCCAAGTTGACTATAATCCGCTCCAAATGACTGCGAGCCTTGAGCATTCTGAAAGCTGATACCGACTAATCCATCTGATGTTAATGCTGTCTCTTCAGCTGGTCAATGAACCAGATGCTTCTAAATTCCCTCCTTGACTTTGACTAATATTCTGGCTTTCCAGGACCCTGACAACAACATTCTAATGTAAGCAGGAAGTAATTACAGAAGCAAATATGTTGCCCTTGTCCCCCCTGGAATGTTAGATTAAAAAGGGAATTTTTTGTCATAGGGAACCTGAGATAAAATAACTGGTCCCCATTCCTATTTCCAAGTTCCTTCTAGATAAGGAACTCGTCGGCCATTGCAGGGCCTTTGGCCCTTCTGTTTCTGCTAATTGCTATTAGCTCTTACATCACTGATGCCTTAACTAAATAATTCCTGTCTGGTTACCACTAAACCAATGATGCTAAACTCCCAAATATCAGCCCCTGGATCAAACCCATGACAAACTTGACATGACAAACTTGAAGATGGCAATAACCGAATAAGGAAAGGCTCACTTTGCCATTGGTAATGGGAAATGGTCTCTGTTTGGAACAACCTCTGCATGACTAACCCCCACTCTGTAATCTCACTCATAATCCAATGGGAGTTAGCTTCCTGATCCCACTGAAGGACACCTGATGGGCATATACTTCTGGCTTAACTCCCTGTGTTAATGTTCAGGTTTTAGATCAAACTAAAAATTTCTGTGTCCTGATCCAGTTAGGTCCAACAATAGTCTACTACCCTAATGATAAAATCTTTTACCAATTAAAACCATCTCCAAGATTAGAGATGATGTACTACTCAAGTGGGGAATGAGAAGGCCAGGCAAATATCATGACAGCCTAATAACTCAGTTAAGAACTAGGCCTGGGTCCCCGCTTTTTGGAACTGAGCAAGCAGTTTCTGAAGAAGAGCCATGAACAAAAGACAATCAGTCTCCAATACCCCTGTCAACAGGGAGGATAACTGTACATACTAGGCCAGCCCCTGCCACAGCAGCTCAAGGACAAAGCCTGGGACTTGTCCAGGCTTTCCCAAAAATATAAAACTATACCCCTGACTAGTCCTGACTAGCCCTAGCCAATTAGAACATACTAATAATGATTGCCTCTTACTTGAGCCAATCATATCAAAAGTGACCTAACTTCCTTAGGACCTCCCCTTGGCTAATAAATGCTCTTGTTGATTGCATACATCGATGATGGTCTTTTGTGGGACTTCTGCAGGACCCTAACATATGGTGCATTAGCCAAGAACTTGCCATTGGACTTCCATCCCATTGAGCGTCTGATAAACTGGTAGGTGAGTGTGAGCACTCTTTGTCTTAGTCTGTATTCTGTTAATATGTTGCTGTTCTGTTCCATGTGTTCATGTCTATAAGAAGCTCAAGCTAAGTAAGTCCAGGCCTGAATGCTAAGTGGATGCATCAGTAGCATTTACAACATGTGGGTTGGGAGACATCCTTAACTGCACCTTGGTTGGGACTTTGGGGCTCCTTTGGTTGAACTGAGATAAGCAGGTCACTCTTACCAGGTGGGGCTTACATTCAATGGGTTACAAATACTTGTCATCACTTAGGGGAATTTGTTACAAATTATTATTGGTCATGATAAGAACAGAACTACTCAAATGTTTCATGTTGAGGTTTTTATATGTTGATGCAAATTCAGAATTATTTTGTTATGAAATATATTTATTTCTGCTCTTATTTGAAATGTTGTACCTATGCAATGTTCTGAACTGCTGAGAAGAAACCACAGAAAAAGATTTTGATTAAAATATGCATGTTGTCTGGGAAACAAGGGAGAAGACAGAAAACTAGAATAATGAAGGGAAGGGAAAGGAAAAAAGAATTTGTCTATGTCTGGCTGAAGCAGAGGAGCAAAGACAGGAAAAGACAGACTTGAAGATACATGGGAAGATGTAGAAGGCCAAAGGGGATATGAACTATACTGAATTTGAAAAGAAACTGTAAAATATATTGGAGATTTGACCATATTGAATTAATTCTGGTTGGGTTTTTCATTTTCAAAATAACTGATGATTCTTGATTGCAGAATATTCATACTGAAAAAGAGGTCATGTTCTTTAAAGAAGAGAAAGGAGGACTAAGGTCCAAAACCATTATGTTACAACCTTCCAAGTCACAGGGTTCTATATGTTTGGCCTCCTATAAAACGACAAAGGTAAAACTATTCAGAATTTCATAGAGAAGTACAAACCTGCTTCTTAAAACTGTCAACTTCACATCTATGACCTATAAATGAAAACTGCAGTCTAACTGCTCCTGTAATATCTGTCTATGGATAGGGAAAAATGCTTCTAAAATATACTTATAAAAGAAAAAACAGAACCCGAGAGGTCCATTTAAATAACATATATACAAGGGAAAACAACAGCCTTGTTATTATTACCAAACTTAGAGATGTTTTCAAAATTAGGCCAAAATTTGTTTAGTTCAAATATATTTAGTAGGTAATGGTCCTCAAACTTGTCAAAGATCTAATCTATTTGATAAAAACTTACTACGACAAACAGAGACTCCCAGCTCCTAGCAATGACACCCAAGGTCTCCAAAAAGACATGAGACAACAGAAGAATGATGCCACCTGGGTTATTGATAGCACTGACCACTGGGCAAGATGCCCTAATGCAACATCTGCTGCCAGGACCAATGGCTATGCTTAAAAGTAAAATCATATCTAAAGTGACCTAACTGCCTTAGAACCTCCCCTTGGCTATGCTTAAAAGGAGCCCACACATCCCTCTCAGGGTCTTCACCATCTTGCTTTTGTGTGGGATGGCAGGTCCTAGCATGTTGGAATAATAAATGCTCTTGATGATTGCATATGTGGATGGTGGTCTTTTGAGGGACTTCTCTAGGACCCTAACAGCTCTACCTGTCATTACATCTCAAATGCTGGCACTAAAGGCTAGTGCCATACTACTTGGCTCCTTTTCAATTCTTTGGAGTCTATTATTTTATGGAAGAAATGTAACTAAACATCCATAGAAACATTGTAAGCCAATGCATAGCTACAAGTGCACTAAAGCCTCAGCTTCCAGTCCCAAATCCTCAGGAAAGCCTCAGCTCCCACCTCTGGTAACAGAAATTCACAGGAAAAATAAACAAAACCCATGGATCATCTATGCAATGTAGAAATTTGTAAAATGGAAAACTGACAAAGGAGAAAAAGTTAAAATAACTCTACAGTAGAGAAACCTGCAAACACTATCTTAGGCAACTGAGGTCAACATTAACTGTCATGAGTCTCAGTGACACTTGTGATATTCAATGGAAATGGGACATTACCTCTGGGGTCTTCTGTTGTCAAATCCCTAACCTGGTCTTCTCATGTCAAAACTATCAGACAAGGGCCAGCAAGTGTGGCTCATGGGAAAAAGACCACTCCAAGGTTGACTACTGAGTTCAATACCAGGACCCACATTGTGGAAGGCAAGAAACTAACTCCCTGGGCTGGAGAGATAGCACAGTGGTTAAGAGCACACACATACACTGTTCTTTTAAGACCAGAATTCAGATTCTAGCAGCCAGCCTTACACTTCACTGTCATCATCAGCAGATTTAGTGAGAAAACTTGGAATTCATAAAGGGAAGGGAAGTAGTTTTTAAAAAGAGAGTTTTTCCCACATTAAAAAATGGGAAACACTACTATGATGGAGGAAGTTAGGTCTCTGTATGATTCTACAATGGATGATTTAATGGAACAGATGAATGAGGGGGAAAGTAACTTGGCTGGGATATAAACATTATCAGTTTGGCAATTCTTGTTTTATCCCTAAAAGTTGGTTGATATGAATGCCAAGATGGCCTTAGAAAAGGTTACTAAAGAAAAGAATGCAATTTTGACTGATTTAAGTTACAAGTCTTAGAAAAGCTTACTAAAACAGATAAAAGAGATATTCAGACCCAGACAGAGGAATTTAAAGG